GTCATTAGCTCATCAGCGCCGTCTAGTGTCACATTTGTATAATGCACTTAAAACGCACTTAAAACTTATATTTGCAGCTGTATAGCTGAGTCCTTTCTTTCCATCCCACAGCCTTGAGCAGGACTCAAGATGTAGCTATGATTTGGTAAGTACAACCAGTTCATGGCAAAAATGACAAGGTGCTCAAACACGATGGTATGTTAGCTACAACAACAAAGAGTCTTGTGGCACCTTCAAGACAAACTCTTGTTGCTGCTGCTGCAACAGCTTGGCATGGCTAGCTACACCACTGCGAACGGATATCTGAAACTGTTCTCATTATTTGCAGACAGGCCCAGTTGGTGGTAAGAAGTTCATAAGTGCATAACCTTATAATGAAGTAAGCAGCTTCAGCTAAGTTCAACTAAGCAGAACAAGACGTAATGAAATAATGAACCTTTTGGACATCAAGCACTGGCATTCTGCTTTCCACAATAAGCCTGCAAGGGAATTTTTTGAGAATTCTTCTTTCTCTTTCATGTATTCATGCAATGGCTTCCACCTGATGTAACACTTCTGATGGAAAGGCTACCAATGGGCATGTTGAGCTGCTAAATATTCGAGAAATCAGAGGAAGCCTAGGAAAAATCTAAGGTTGCCTCCAAAGCTGAAGCCAGGGCTTTTTAAAAGCTGGAACTCACCAAAACTCAGTTCCAGCACCTCTCAGGTGAGCACCATAGCCATTATAAGAGAACAAGGGAGGTGTTCATGATGAGTTCTGGCACCTCTCTTTCTAATAATAATAATAATAAATTTTATTTTTACCCCTCCCTCCCCGGCCAGAGCTGGGCTCAGGATGGCTAACACCAATAAAATCACAGTAAAAACATAATAGGGGAAAAAGAAGGGGGGGAACCAATTTAAAATACAGGTTAAAATGCAATTTAAAATGCAGTCTCATTTTAAAATAGCCGATAAATCAAGACCATAAGGGCAGGGAAACATAAGGGTCAGACCGAGTCCAAACCAAAGGCCAGGTGGAACAGAGGTCTTGCAGGCCCTGCGGAAAGATGTCAAGTCCCTCAGGACCCTAGTCTCTTGTGACAGAGCGTTCCACCAAGTCGGGGCCAGGACTGAAAAGGCCCTGGCCCTAGTTGAGACCACCCTGCGACCTGGGACCTCCAAAATGTTGTCATTTGTGGACCTTAAGGTCCTCCATGGGGCATACCATATTTATAGTAAAATAGCACTGGCTAGAACTAAAGGGGCCTGAAAAGAGCACCTAAACTCAGCAACCTGACTACTTTATGCAAATTATCCAGTTGATTCATATTATCAGGAGAACCAGCAGGAAGATGCTGGATTAGGAAGAGAATGGTTTTTGGCAATCTGCATTGGAATTCAGTAGCAAAGGGATTTTGTGGTAGGAACCTCTGGCTGCTATGAGCTAAGCTGCTCTAGATCTACAGGGGCCAGGCAAAAGGTCAAAAGGAGGAGATTGTTAATAATAATAATAATAATAATAATAATAATAATAATAATAATAATAATTTATTTATACCCCGCCCATCTGGCTGAGTTTCCCCAGCCACTCTGGGCGGCTCCCAATCAAGTATTAAAAACAATACAGCGCTAAATATTAAAAACTTCCCTGAACAGGGCTGTCTTCAGATGTCTTTTAAAAATAGGATAGCTACTTATTTCCTTCACATCTGAAGGGAGGGTGTTCCACAGGCTGGGCGCCACTACCGAGAAGGCCCTCTGTCTGGTTCCCTGTAACCTTACTTCTCGCAATGAGGGAACTGCCAGAAGGCCCTCGGCGCTGGATCTCAGTGTCCGGGCTGAATGATGGGGGTGGAGACGCTCCTTCAGGTATACAGGACCGAGGCTGTTTAGGGCTTTAAAAGTCAGCACCAACACTTTGAATTGTGCTCGGAAACGTACTGGGAGCCAATGCAGATCTCTCAGAATCAGTGCTATGTGGTCCCAGCGGCCACTCCCAGTCACCAGTCTAGCTGCTGCATTCTGGATTAATTGCAGTTTCCGGGTCACCTTCAAAGAAAGGAAAAGCTTAAGGGCCAAGGGAAATGGGGTGGTGCAAGAAATAAATGCTAAAAGATGGTCTGGCCAAGAAGAATGATGGGAAATAAGAGAGCTTTAACAGGGATGAGCATGAAGTTGATTATAAACCATGGACTAAGTAATTTGGATTCAACTGAAATCCATGGGACAAATTGGTCATGACTTAAGGCACACCGATTTCAGTGGAAATAACTAATATGACAGTGCCAGCTCAGAGGTATGTCGCATTAAGACAGGCTTCCTCAGACTTGGCCCTCCAGATGTTTTGAGACTACAATTCCCATCATCCCTGAACAGTGGTCCTGCTAGCTTGGGATCATGGGAGTTGTAGGCCAAAAACATCTGGAGGGCCGAGTTTGAGGAAGCCTACATTAAGATCATACGGATGCATGTAAGCTTAGTCATACTAAGAGCAGAGCCATTGGAACAAATGGAGATGACTAACTCAGCGTTTGCATTGTGTAGATGCAATCCAAAAGCATTTCCTCCAAGATAATTATGTGTAGGATTGAAGGCTAAAGCTAAATCCAGCAGCTCTATCATTTTACCATATGCCTGCCTCTGATAGGGAGAACCAAACCAAGTTTAACCCTGACTGGGGTTTATTATCTTTGGCTTTGGAGAGGTGACAGTAAAATTCACACACTGATTTGCAATAACCAGCCAAATATCTGGCCCTAGTCTATCATAAAGGTAAAGGGACCCCTGACCATTAGGTCCAGTCGTGACCAACTCTGGGGTTGCGGCGCTCATCTCGCTTTATTGGCCGAGGGAGCCGGCGTACAGCTTCCAGGTCATGTGGCCAGCATAACTAAGCTGCTTCTGGCGAACCAGAGGAGCACACGGAAACGCCATTTACCTTCCTGCCAGAGTGGTATCTATTTATCTACTTGCACTTTGATGTGCTTTCGAACTGCTAGGTTGGCAGGAGCAGGGACCGAGCAACGGGAGCTCACCCTGTCATGGGGATTCGAACCACTGACCTTCTGATTGGCAAGTCCTAGGCTCTGTGGTTTAACCCACAGCACCACCCGAGTCCCCAGTCTCTCATAACTGCATGAAATAATCTGACATTAAATTCACCCAGTAGAGATTTCACTTCACACAAGGATAGCAATGTTCCTGTGATCATTTTTGCTGCTCCTTATGAAGCAGAATCCACCTTTTCAGTTCACCCCATGAGTAGCCCAAGATTGCTTCCGAGAAGAATTTCCATCCCTACAGCTCTTGCCAACAGTTTTCCCTGTATAACATCCCTCATGCATCTTTCTGCCTTGTTGACTCTCCAACTCATTAAATTTCATTCTAAAAGACAGCTTTCCTCCCTTGCCTACGCATCTTAATTTCCATGTCCCTTTGCGCCAATTTATTATTTAGCTCTGACTGTATTACTGAATGATGTGAAACATTTTTTTCTTTTTCTTTCTTTTTTTTGCTTATTCGTTATATAAAAAAAGCACTACCACGATACAAGTTTCACCCGACCCACCTCAAATTTGGGTTGTTGGGACCACATTTTATCTACTGCCACATTCAAGACAAATATGAAGAGTTCTTCTCAAGTGAAAATTACTGTGGGAATTTTGGGAGAAGTTTTTTTCTAAAAAAAATCTCAGTAATATTTCTCAGAGGGTGTTCAGCACATCATTGCCAGTGATGTGGGATGGATGCTCCCCCCCCCAAAAAAATTGCCCCCATCTATCATTCCCCACATATTTTTTCTCATTTCTAAAAATAGAAGTATTGTTTCCTTAAATTACCTAGGAACCTAATAATGTAATGCAATCATAGTCAAATTGTGCCGTTTCAAAGTTGTGGTTAACTTTTCCCCCCAGAAGACTATGCCTAGAAAGCATGCATGCATACATACATACATAATGCACATAAATATATTACTTTTTAGGCATGGTAAAATTAACATATTAACAGTTTTCTGTGCCTCCACTATTTTTCTTCACATTTCAACAGCGTAAAGGACTATGTACTATGCTACTGAGTTGTTATGTCTTAAAATATATATAAGTATTACAATAAAAATTATTTCCGAGTGAATTCATTTGAATATAACATTTAAATGACGCTATGTGCTCTATTCTGTTTTTAAAAACTAATCAAATGTTTCCTTTCAAATAATTTTGGCTATGGGGAGAAAACTTTGAGACATTTGTTAAAAGAATGCATTATTATTATTATTATTATTATTATTATTATTATTTAAAAGTTTGGTAAATGTAAGTTAAGCAATGTGGAACAGATCCCGATCAGTTTTTGGCATGGATACAATAGTCAGCCAAAGTCAACCCAGAGTATGCAAAGCTATTGAAATGTTGACTAAAATGAAATTCAGAGGTAATATTAGGGGATTCCACCACTACTTGAGGGATTTCAAAGAAGCCAACCAAATTTTCCTTTTAAGAAAAAAGATGGTGACATTTGAAAGGAGTGGCACATTCCTAAATAATGTAACGGGACTGTATCTAAAGAGAAGTTCAGTGTAGAAGTTTTGTTTTGTTTTCGTTGCTGATCATTTTTATTAGTTTTCAATTAAAACAATCCAATAATAGCCTCATTATTACAATGCCAAATTATAATACAATTAATAATACCAATATCAAGATGCCAAATTATACAATTTTGGTGCCACCCCGTGTGCTAGAATTGGTGGTTTGATGATTTACTTTGTTTCTGCATGCCAAAATCTTACAAATTTCAATTTCACTCCCGTCCAATCTCTTATATCGCAACTGCAGTTTTAACAACTTCCGTTCGTATTGACAAACTAAGTGATTTATACACCTACAGATGAAGCATTTAAACTCTCTCCTTCCTTTGTGTGGCAATTATTCTTTCCATAGTGTTTCTTCCTGTCCTTGTAATATATTATGTCTATCTTTTGTCAAAATAAACAAACAATTTTCCTTCCAGTAGCACCTTATAGACCAACTAAGTTTGTTATTGGTATGAGCTTTTGTGTGCAAGCACACTTCTTCAGGTACATGCACACGAAAATTCGTGCATGCACACAAAAGCTCATACCAATAACAAACTTAGTTGGTCTCTAAGGTGGGTGGCGCTGTGGGACACGGGTGGCGCTCTGTTAAACCACAGAGCCTAGGACTTGCCAATCAGAAGGTCGGCGGTTCAAATCCCCATGACAGGGTGAGCTCCCGTTGCTCGGTCCCTGCTCCTGCCAACCTAGCAGTTCGAAAGCACGTCAAATTGCAAGTAGATAAATAGGTACCACTCCGGTGGGAAGGTAAATGGCGTTTCTGTGAGCTGCTCTGGTTCGCCAGAAGCGGCTTAGTCCTGCTGGCCACATGACCCGGAAGCTGTCTGTGGACAAACACTGGCTCCCTCGGCCTATAGAGTGAGATGAGTGTGCAACCCCAGAGTCGGTCACGACTGGACCTAATGGTCAGGGGTCCCTTTACCTTTTTAAGGTGCTACTGGAAGGAATTTTGTTTGTTGGTTGGTTTTGGCTACCTACCTGTAACTATCTTTTGTCAGTTGTTGCTGTTCTCTCATGTAAGGTCGGGGAAGGCTTCTGGTTTCATTTCATTACTTTAGCCATCACATGATTTTAAAGCAGAGGAAAGGCAATAGGTCTCACTGGTGAGTTGCATTTGGGGCATGGAGCAGGAAAAGATTCTGCCGCTATTTTGGAGCCAGTTCTTCAGAATGGGTGGGAAAGCTGGTGGGAAATCTTTCCCTCACCTGTTTAGAACAACACACACACTCTTTCGCTTTCTCTCGTTCTCTCTTTCCGTTTTCTCCAATTGATTAACCCACCCTACACTGAAGTTTCGCAAAGTCCGCAGGGCCCTTAACCTTGCGCTTCCCTTCCCAATGTGCAAAGTGCCCAGCTTCGCTTTTACACCCTGCCTGCTGGATAATAATAATAATAATAATAATTTATTTATACCCCACCCATCTGACTGGGTTTCCCCAGCCATTCTGGGTGGCTTCCAACACAATATTAAAATACAATAATGCATCAAACATTAAAAGCTTCCCTAAACAGGGCTGCCTGGATTTGTCAGGTCCTAGATAGCAACTTGCAAAAAGAAGAGAAGTTTGGCTTTGCTTTGGTTTTTTTTTACTTTGGCTTAGGCGTACTTATCTGAGACGCCAACCCTTTTGGAATATAACAGTTTCCTGGGTTACTAGAATCATAAATTCCAAGCCTTTATGAGAAAGCTTTCTCTCAGCACGAAGAGCACCTTCCGCCCGATACGAGGAGGCCATTTGGAACTTAGCATAATGCACTAGGATAAGATAAATGCAAAGATTTGTTGCTTGGGTTTGCGTTTTGTGGCGTTTATTATTGCAATCTGGGAAGTCGGCACGTTTATGAACCATTAACAATGTTCTCTGCACTTCCACAAGAGACTCCATTTTATAAAAACACACAAATTACTTTGGCTTAGGCCACTCATGTTAACGGCCTGTGATTTACATATTTCAGTAAGCTGCGGAGTCAAAATGAAGTCAACGTGATAGCAGGCTTCCTTTCTGCCTTATTTCCCACCACTCCCTGTGGTGTGGGAAATTCATTTCATCTCATTTTAATCATTCTCCTCGATGTAGTCAGGTAAACAAGTCTTAGAAGAGCGTGGAGATAAAAGACAGAATAAACACAAATAAGGTCAGTCGTCCCGCACCCCACTTAGTACAAAGCAAACATAAGCGCTTGATTGAAGTTACTCATTAAAGCAATGCTACAGAGCAGGTAAAACCTGAAGGGTTTGTGCTAAGTTCACTGAAGCACCACACAGGAGGGTTATATTCCGTTTAAGACTTCTCAAAAACAATCTAGATCTCAGCCCTCAAGGGGGGAATGATAACACTCAAAAATAATTGTTCGGAGAAAGTACAATCTCGGAAGAGATGTGTTAATACATTATAGGCGTGTGCTGAAACCAACACCCATCTGCCAGAGCTGGGTTGGATCAGAAGAGGAGAAAGAAAGACCCAGTTCAGATTCAGTGCTTACAATTGTTCCGTGTTAACCTCTTAAAGTAGTTGTCCCCCCTCTGCTTTTTTTTTAATCACTTTTTCCTCTCCCTTTTGCTACCTATCCTTTCACTAGCCCCAATCTGTACTACAGTATATATTTAAAGCAGAATTATACCACTTTAAAAAATCATGGCTTGCCCCAAAGAATCCTGGAAACTGTAGTGTGGTAAGGGTGCTGAGAGCTGTTAGGAGGCCCTTGTTTTCCTCTCAGAGTTACAATTCCCAGATTGGTTTAACAATTGGTCCCTCTTCCCAGGAATCTCTGGAAAGTGTAGCTCTGTGAGGGAAATAGTGGCATCTTCCAAAATTTCTCAGTAAACTATAGATTCCTAAATTATTTGCTATGACTAATAAATTGGCATAATTGTGTTTTAAATGCACAACGTAAGTGGGGCCTTGGATAGAAAGCACCTGAGGGCAAGTATCTGCCTTTCTGCAATTATTGATCACTAGGTTCATTGATGACGCTATGTCACTTATGCTAATACCAGAGAACAGCAATGAGTCTTTAGAGTAAAGTGTCTGGCTCCCACACCATGAAAGCCTTATTTCATTATAAAGCCTGAAATATCTATTGATCATAAAATCAAGATAATTTGTCCTTTCACTGGGAAACACAGCATGGAAGCCCTACCTGATTCCCAATTAATCTGGCAAACGTTCAGGACTCCTGATGATGAATGGCTGAGGATGAGAGGAGAGAAAACATTTTACGCTGAAGGACAAACGATCCCGTTTCTGTAAACAATTTGTGTGTGTGCTCATCAAACGCAAAGGATGCATTTCTTCTTTTGGCTATTTCAGGTTATGTCAAAAAGTTCAAAGCGGTTGCCAAGTTGGTCCAATCCGTTTTGTTACACCTGATGTTAGGGGATTTCAAAATGCCTATTAACTTATGTAACTAAGGGCAAGGATGGCAACAGATGTCTGTTTGACAGATTGAAGTCTCCCCAGTGAAGCCTGCCACCCAGCAGAAAGACAGTCACTACTGGAGTCAGGAAACAAAATCAGTGGAAAACAGTAAATGGCAGGAGATCAGCTGCTGTATCTGTGGTTGAAATGGTGGGGGATACGAACTTCCACACTGTGTAATGGTTTGTGGCATGTGTACACTTGCAGCGCAGCTGCTTGTGCTTGTACATGAAATCTTTTTGTGTGAACTCTGAGCTGCGTTCCAGGATAACATGGGTATAATAACAAAGAACCATGCTGCATGTCTAATGCTGTCTTTGAACCATTGGGCAAACTAGGAACATAATAGTGAGCACTCACACTTTACATTGTGGGTGCCCTTTGCGGGATCATGTGTGGTGCTACAGTTCCCAGGGAACTTAATGGAGAACAGAGACTGGCCTGTCTCTCAGTGTTATTATTTGGCAGTTCACGCCCAGCCTCAGCAGTCTAGTTTCATTGCTGGGAGGTGGGGCCAGTCCCAAATATATATAGGGGGTGGAGCCGACAGTAGCCAGGCAGTTGGCTCAGGAGATTCACCCTCCCTACCCTTCCTTAGTTTAATGTTTTCTTGTTTGCAGGTTAACTTATTCTTCCTGTTTAGCAGGCACTGCTGCGGTCTTTGACTGGTTGCTGTTGAAGGACCGGGAAGAAATTTTCCTGCATTGCCAGGTTTTGTCTTCCCTGTAGCAATTCGTCACAAGTTTGGCAGTTATGGCCTTGGGTGGAATCCTTTAGTCTTTTCTTCCCTATAATGGGGGGGGGGTTGTGAAGTGGTGACTCACACCCCTGTGGCGTCAATTCCAGGGTCCCCTCTTAAAAGGGGTTATATAATGGGTGTCACTGGCCATACACCGAAAGGCTGTCAGTGAACTACCCTGTGTGTGGGGATACGGGCTGGGCTGCCTGCTACACTTACGTATCTCAGTGTACCCCCATATCCCATTTACCATGATGTGCCCCAGTTCCCCCTGGCTGGGGGGCTGGGAGGGGTACACGCCCAAGGCCTAAGCCAAGGTCTTCCTACATTTGGAAGTTTAATAAAGTTGTGGCCTAATAATAATAATAATAAATTTTTATTTATATCCCGCCCTCCCTAGCCGAAGCCGGGCTCAGGGCGGCTAACAACAATAAAATAATACAACATTCTAAAATCATTTCATTATAAAATTAATTCAAATCAAATTGATGGCAACCATTGGGCTAGAGTTCTGTGAAGATTGCCAAAGTAGGGAGTCATGCTGTGCCCTCGCCAAAAGCCTGGTGGAACAGCTCTGTCTTGCAGGCCCTGTGGAAAGATGTCAAGTCAAGCAGGGCCCTAGTCTCTTGTGACAGAGTGTTCCACCAGATCGGAGCCACAGCCGAAAAAGCCCTGGCTCTGGTTGAGGCCAGCCTAACCTCTCTGTGGCCTGGGATCTCCAAGATGTTTTTGTTTGAAGACCGTAAGTTCCTCTGTGGGACATACCAGGAGAGGCGGTCCCATAGGTATGAGGGTCCGCCCCAGTTCTCCCTGGCCTTGGGCATGTACCCCTCCCAGCCCCCCAGCCAGGGGGAACTGGGGCATATCAGGGAACTAATTTAATTCTATAACACATTGTCAGAGTCTTTATTCCTTTCTTATGATCCCTGGGGGCTGGGGCTGTCACCACCTGGTCACACAATTAAAAAGCAGGAATAGTGCTGCAATGATGACTGAAATGGCCTACCTTCCATGGTTGAAGCTACAACGGCTGTGTTGTGTGCAGAGTGCTTCAGCACATTAAAGCACAGCATTATATAACCACGTTACAGACATCTCCACAGAATGGTTCGTGTAATTCAGTCAGTTCTGGCATGGCTTCACTAGCTACTAGTCATTTTCTGGGATGAGTTCAAAGTGCTGGTTTTGACCTATAGATCCTTAGGTGGCACAGAACTCCAGTACCTGAAGGATTGATTGCCTTCTCTCACATGAACAAAACCAGACCGTGCAACCGTCATCTGAGGCTCTTCTTCATGTGCTGCCTCTGCAGGAAGTTCTGAGGGTGCCAACACAGGAACGGGCCTTTCTGTGGTGGCCCCCACTTCTGGAATTTGCTCCCCAGGG